CAATGTTTTTGTGTTTTTTCCTATGTCTTCCTTTTTTTTGTCAAAATTCGTTAAAATTTCGAAAGATTTAATTTTTCATCATTGTTGAAGAAGCAACAGCCAGGCGATTTTTTCCAATTTTTTTTCTTTCTTACTTTCGTACTCTTTGGTCGCAAACAAACAAAGAGACGGAAAAGCACACGCGACTCACGGAGTCTCGCTATAATTATACGACAAGTATTTCGTCTGCATTGTAACGTTTCATTGTTTGCTAATGATTTTCGCTCGATTACCCGAAAATAGCGCTGCTCGCTCGCCTCGTTCTCTCGCTGCTGCGTGTGGCGCGAGAATTAACATGTGTCGCGCTACCGCCGACGACGAGAATCGACGTTCGCCGCTTAGCGAATTCGTGTATTATACCGATGCCAAACACACATTTGCAGGCTTGTCCCGAAACGTAATGATGCTTTGATAAATCGCATGTTTATTGTTCGAAAAATCATTTCGCCGATTCGCTATCGAACCGATTCAACGCCGGACAGAGAATTGCGAGATATTTTCGTGTATACGTGCGCGTATAATAATCGAAGGCTCTCTCGGCCCGCGTTGAATTTAAAATAGATCCCACTTTTTTCTTCTTTCACTTCGCTCGGATTCCGGTATATGAGCAACTATAGGTGTTGAAAAATACACGCGCACACATACGCGCGCGCGCGCGCAGACGCGAGTGAAGCGAAATTCATCAGCTTCCAAAGCACTAATGCATCTCATCCTTCTTCATTTCCACGAAACGCGACTACGCAAGAGACACTTTTTTTAAGAGCAATTTCGAGCGTGTTTATAGCAAAAATTAATCGAGACATGTCTCGTTGGCTCCTCGTCTATAAATATCGTCTTTGTGTGTGTCTCTGCGCGCGTGTATACGTACACTCGGACTGATGATACAGTATCAGACCGGATAGGTATCGTCATTATTCATACTCGAGAAAACATTTAACAAGTCAAAACGCCGAATGCATGTTTTATCAAATTGGTACAAAGCGAGCTGACTTCGTGGCTCGAACCTATTCGAGAACTCGAAAAGCGGAAAAGTAGCTATAGGCGCAAGTGTCATCTTCGAGTAGTATATTAATGATTATTTTCTGTTTGACATTTTTCTCGAGCGTGTTTTCTCGATAGATACAACATTTTTCTCGTGATATTTTTGTGTCGAAATCGTTTTTACACTCTTTTTGCTTTTTTTTCATAATTTTCGTGCGCCCCAGCAGCTCTCCGATCAATTAACAACTCTCGAGCTCGTGTTTTCTCGATATATATACGTCGGAGAGCTAATTTTTGGTATATTATAATACAAGCTCGAGTCGCGCTCCGGCCAAGTTTTAACAAATTCTCCCTCTCATACACTCTTAGCCTTAATAGCCTCTCGAGCCAAAAAAGGACGGCTGCTTGAAAAATAATTATTCACGTCGACCACGTGCGTCGTGCCGATCAATCTCTTACTTGGGCCGCGTGTGCGTATCTCACTTTCTCTCCCTTCTCTCTTGGTCTTTTTACTCGTCGACCGAGTCCGAGCGAAAAGCTGTCGCGCGAAGAAAAGCTGTGTGCGCACACACACATCTCTTCTCCGGGTGAGCTTGATTTACAACAATTGCTACGCTATCAAGTGGAATATATACTGCTTATTTACTTGTGGCTTTTATAGGCTCTATTTCTCCTCGGCTGTATAACAGCGGTGATGAGAATATTTACGAGCTCGAGAACGGGGAATTAAATTTATCGAGTCGTTTTTTGGAAACGTCACCCCATAATTATGGCTCGAAAAATTAACGCAGATGCCAGTGGACACACTATGATTATAATCTGTCATTTTTAGGTAAATACGAGTTAGTTTAGATGATTTATATCTTAAAATTCAGAAACATCGCTAGTGTAATATCCTTTTGTGTGCGTAATAAGCCTACGCGTATACGCAATAATACCACCTACATTATACTCTCAACCTGTTTTTCCTCCATACATAAATGCGTAACGCCGCGAGTGTATTGTATATCCGAGTGCGCCCGCGCGCCTTGTTGCCGTGTTTATATAAACGACTAATTGTTCACTAAGCCTAATTAATGTCTCAACAAGTGATGTTCCCTTCACGCGCGAGTCGTTTAGCAGCGTGTCTCTTTTCTAAAAATACAAGAGGGAATTTATATACATGTAGTATATGCTACGGAGCGATGCGCCTCGAACCACGCCTATCTCGTTGCATATGCTGCGAGTTGTTCCTATATGCGTATACGAGGAAGCGCACGACAAAAATTATCAGACTCGGGCGAATGCTGCAGATACGTATAATGTTCGCGCGAAGAAGAAGATTCTCAGGAGTAACACGAGTGAATAATGTCCGCATTTTTCGAAATGACGAGACAACTGTATATCGAGAGCCGACGGAGAATTTTGCAAATGGATTTGGGTTAAATATATAAGACGTATTGTTAGTCGGTCTTTGAGAGTGATGTTGAGATTGGAAAAAAGGGTAATAGATCAAACAGATTGATTCAATTTTTGCAAGTATTTTAGAGAGATTAAATTTGTACGGATGAAATTTGAAATTTAAAATACGATTTTTCATTTTATAAATAAAATAAAACATTTTTATCCCCTAAAATTAACAAACTATATTTGAATCTCGTTTAAGACTACCAGGAACCATCAGGGGGCGTAGCTCAGATGGTAGAGCGCTCGCTTAGCATGCGAGAGGTACCGGGATCGATACCCGGCGCCTCCAGAAACTCTTCTTTTGAGTTTCGCGATAATCTTTTTAATCTTTAACTTTCCCTGGTCTCTTACAGATCCAACATGATCAAGTTGCGCCTAACAGGTAACAGGGGGCGTAGCTCAGATGGTAGAGCGCTCGCTTAGCATGCGAGAGGTACCGGGATCGATACCCGGCGCCTCCACAAGAATTGTATTTTGCTAAAAAAACAATTTTTTGACGATCCAATACCTGAAGCATTTTTTGAAACACTTTATCCAACTGACTCTTTGAATAAACCTGGTAGGTACTGACTATGGTTTCGTTCGTCACCAAAACTTAATAGTTAAAGAAACTGGCTCCTTTTGAACTCTCGAATGCAAACGTATATTTCCGATAATTCCCTGTGAGTTTTATTCAAATTAAATACTGTTAAAAAGTGTCAATAATTTTTTTTTAGTAAAAAATGTAGATTTTTTAAGGTCTAATAAAAAAAATTTTTAAATAAGGTATTCGAACCAGTGATTGACAACTTTTGACCAATAATTAACCTCTTTTAAATATGCAATAATTATACTTTTTTCGTGTTATGTGGTAATCGGACATGGAAAACAAGATGCGACATCCGCTGAAGAATTGCATAACGTCCATACAAATATATTTTTAATTGTTTATCATAGTGTATTTTCCAAAACAGTCATTCACATATCATTTTAGTTCTACACAAATACTTCTACGAAGTACTATTGATACTCGAAGGCTTATTCTGGTGTTGAATTAATCAAGATACATTTTTGAATAGTTGAATATTAATCAAAAAAAATTTTTAATTCTAATTTTAAAGTTTGATAGCAACATTTTTGATTTGAAAAAAAATCTGAACGTAACGATTCTGATACTTCAAGCTTTTTAAGTGCTGGACAACTGATCAACATAAAACATTCTATTTAATTCGGTCTTAAGGTTTTATTGGGATCCAGTCTACTTTCTCTTAATTTTTAAAATCTCATTATCTCAAATTAATGATTAAATATCAGGGGGCGTAGCTCAGATGGTAGAGCGCTCGCTTAGCATGCGAGAGGTACCGGGATCGATACCCGGCGCCTCCAAATTTTGCAATTAACAATAATAATTTGCACGAAAAAAGGGTCCGAGACAGATTTTAATCTGAATATTTGAAAACATGGAGAATTTTTGCAAATGCGTCAATGCGCTATAGATACTGATTTTTTTCTTACTTTCCTTATTCATTCGATTTTTTTGATAATTGTTCAGAATTTCGATTTATTTATAATTCCAAAACTCAATTAAAATCAAGTGCTATACTTAGTGTAAACGCAACGGCTAATACTTATTTTTTATGCATTCAGTGTAAAATTTGTTCTATACCGTCTTCGTAACTTTTAAGTCTTGTTCTGTTATAAACAATAAACATTTTATATCCGAAAATGTCCGATCATTATACTTTTTGTTATTAATCCTATAAATTTAATATCCCTTTGAGATCATCAGGTATCAGGGGGCGTAGCTCAGATGGTAGAGCGCTCGCTTAGCATGCGAGAGGTACCGGGATCGATACCCGGCGCCTCCACGTCGATTTTTGAAAATTTTGTGAATTTTTTTTTTACTTCTTCTGACGGTCACGACCGTGTATATATTTCTTAATTATTTGAACAAAAAATTTATGAATAACTTCATACTGACAATGTTAAATATATAGCTTTGCCTCTACCAAGCTATGCATAATTAATAAAAATATGGTTTTTCAATAAGACTCATCACAGAATTCGCTTCCAGTTTCTATAATAATGTCTCATTAAACTATAAAATCATACTTGCTAATAAATATCGTACTTATTATGAGTATTTAATCTTTTTAGAAGTGCTAATAATTTTATGCAGTTCATCATTCTCTGCATAAGTTATCACGAAAAACAATTCTCATATCGGACGAGAAACTAATTAAAACTTGTCAATTATTTTAAATCATGTAACAATATTATAATTTGAATAATTGTCGAACAAATTTTCTGAAATATCGTTTTAAAAAGTTGACCGATGTTTTTATAATCAGTCGCAAGATAACCCAGGCACACGCTCGTTTATTTACATTGCATATTAAGGTCATTAAAATCAAGTTTTGCAAACATGATAAAAATTATTGACGAACACGCGCATCATCAATTTATTATTGCGATTTATTGCGACGCGAGACGAAATTGAATATGCACCAAAAAAAGAAAAACATTCGTGTGTATACAAATATAGAGACACTCACCAGTGGCGAATAAAAAGCCGAACTGTCCATGCCGATGCTGGGATATGGACCCTGCTCGGCGCTCGTCGGAGTCGGGGTCGGATACGTGCTATAACTACTGGCAGTGGGCCCCAGTCTGGGATAAGCGCCGAGGGCCAGCCTCGCCGCGCTGTCGTACTGGCACGAACAGACCGTCTGTCCGGTCACCGGGTCCGTCATCATGGGCCGGCCATTCTCGCAGCAGCCGCCGCCGCCACCACCACCAACGGTCGACGTCGTGGTCGCTGGGGCGGTCGCCCCGGCCGCCGCCGTCGGTGTGCTCGTGCCGCCTGCGGCACCGGTTCCGGCCGTGGTGCTCCCGCCGCCGGTCGTCGTGGCTGTCGTGGCCGTCGAGGAGCCCGGCGACAGCGCCCCGGGACTGAGAGCACCCGCCGACGACATGGCCGGGGACGTGGCCGTCGTTGGCTGGCCGGCGCTCACCAGTAGCTATATGCAACAGCAAAAATAATGATGTCAGTATGTTCATGGAATCGTATTTATTGTCAAAGAGTTTGAATGTATACACGCGAATTTAACAAGCCCTCTTGCGAGCGAGGGACGATGTAAATTTCAGTGTTAACAAGCGTAGGCACGCTCTGAGCTCAACATGTACTTCAATTGCATATACCAGTGCGCTCTGTTCTGTTTCTTCTCCAAAAAAACTTGCACGCAAGCTAGTTACACAAGTGTCGCCGAGATATCACTCGTGAAATACATATTTCACTCGGCTAAAAGACCGATAAAAATCCTCGAAAAACTGAAATGGTCGTTTCGTCAACTCGACGATTTTATTTCTCTTCTCATTTAGTGCTGCAACTGTACGCTATTCTTCATCACTCGGCACATTTCGCGAATGCGAGGGGATGGAAAAGTTGAAGAAGCGTAGACGTTTTTTTTGTTGCTGTTTTGACCGCACAGCAGGAGAAAAAACTTTCTAAAGCTGTGGTTTTTCATTTTCACGCACCGCGAAGTAAGTATCGTAGTTTCCGATAGCGTATGGTAAAAGAGTCGAGAGAAAAAAAAAGAGCATGTAACAATATCGCGTTTGTGAAGTCACGATGTATGTCGGTGAAGTTTGCGCAGATCATCATCTCTCTAACGTATTAATTTCAATACTTTCTTCGTTTAAGAGGAAAAAAAACGAGCTTGACTCGCTCAATCTCTGCTTCTTGGCATGCACGCGCGCATACACACAGACACACACGCTATAGCGACTCGGAGATATCTTACTTCGTTTTAAAGTTAATTAAAGACGACCTCGCGTGAATATCTGTATATTGCTGCACATCCACTAGACGGAATCTGTTTCGTCTACTTCTCTCCCGCTCGTGTGTATGTCTGTGTGCTAATGCACTTTCTCTTTGTACTGCACTACATGCAGTATTGAAGGCAGCCTACATAGCATATAAGATAGTCAGAGACCAATGATGGTGCAGAGCGGTATAGGGGAGAAAAAAAGTAAAGGAAAGAGAGGCCGGCCACTCGACGCAACGACGAATCGCCCTCCGCTCGCTGCTGTGAAAGAAAAATCCCGAGACGGTCTGCGTTGTATCGTTTGTGGCACGAGCACAGCCCTCGAGTGAGTTCGAGACTCTCGCACACACTCGGAAGGCAACGATTTTACGATGATATTAATTAGTCTGCGCGTTTGATGGCCGTGGTCCGTCGCGCAGATGAAAGAGTCGCTTTTATGCACGCGCGTGGGTAGTTTATGATTGTATGTGAGTTATGGTGGGTGGACGCGCATCGTGTGAAAATCCTCCTTTTGGACGACTAGCGCACCAGCACCAGCAGCACGTAATAATATCAATCAAGTCTTTTGCCGCTGCGCTGGCACGGCTAGTAGATTTGCGCGAATGAATAAAACATACTATAGTTGTAAGACACTTCTCGCAATCAAAGGTGGATAGAAGTCACGAAACGGCGCACTCGACCAAGCTTATGGCTCTCTTTCTCTCTAGACCGCCCGACTCGACACCCTTTGAAGAGCTTAATTGAGTTTTTTTTCTCCTTCTCTCTCATATACTGCTGCTGTGTTCCTCCGCGCGGCCCGACTACCTATATACAGTGCGGAGTATACTGTCTGCCACTTGAAGAGAGGAAAGAGAGTGAAACAAACAAACGCTTCAACACGCCAGAAGAAAAGTCCTGAGTGAGCCGCAGCAGCGGCAGCTGAGAGGGGTCGTAGAGCCGTAACACTCCGCTGTACTATCCCTTTTCTAATTCACTCGACGCGAGTAAGAGAGAGAGAGAGAGAGAGAGACAGAGAGAGGATCTTTATTCATGAGCGGTTTTGTCCCGGCAACTTTCTCAACTCGTTCATTTGTGCAATGCACCTCGAATATGTGTGTGTGTGTGTATTATATAAAACGTAGTGTGCGTGTATGTTTGGCTCAGAAAAGAAAATTCAGGAGATAATTTTTCGCGACAAAAAAAGAACTCGATGAATATTTCCATCGACACGGTTTGTCGCTGTTTATGTACGACGACTGCGGTCGAGTTTTTCCTACCGACTTTTCGCGAATCTCTCGAGCTACATCATTATGCACGTATGATCGGACGACGGAATGCGCGACAAATCCCGAGGCTCAAGACTCTTCGCTATATAGACGTCGGTCCGTCGGAACGTGAATAGTCTACATATTATAAAGCCCTCGCACGAAGTTGTATCTTCACGCGCTCGGGTATAGCCAATGTCCTTCTCGATGTGTGTCTGCACTGTGACTATGACCTTTGATCGAGTCTAAAATATCCTGAATCTTTTAGGCACGGGTCGTCTTTGCCACTTCTCTCATTCGCTTCTTCTCTAAATCCCCTTTTTCTCGTATACACTACGCACTATTCGCTCTAAAACTATTGATTTCACACGCTTTCGATGTGCAGTAACTGAATATATTCAGGAGCTGCCTAGTATATACCAAAAAGGAGCAAAGTATAAAATCGCATCGTCGTCGAAGACCAGAGTGCGAACAATATATATGAATACGCGCGCGCGGGAATGTAAAATACGAACGAATAAGGCGCGCATTACAAATACATAAGTACACATGGAGGAGCGCACGTGGATATTTTGCACGAGCTCCGATTACAATACAAACAATGAGTAATGAGTATTAGCCTAGCAGCGCCTATACCCACTCGGCACAGCCTCGCCAACGGCAAATACACGACGTAGAAGGAAAATGGAGAACAAACGACAAGAGGCATTTTCCACAGCACAAGCCGATCAGCGAACTAATGCGCGTGTATACACACTGTAATATATGTAACAGATTTGCGCGATCGAATCGACATTCGTGCCACGCCACGCAGCTGATCTTCCCGCACACAGCTCGAAGAAATGATCTCTAGACGACTCTCACCTTTCAAGCCCCGAGGAGCTCTCTAATAAAAATGCACGGCAGGATCATGGCACGCCACGCGGTGGTGGCATTTTTTTCGCGAATCCGACCACCGTTGCGAGGCAAGTTCGTTGGAGCGTGCGGAATAGAGTTCCTAGATATATGTAAACAATAGCTTCGCTTGGGTTTAACTTTGCCTCTCGCACGAGTAAAAATGTTCTCACTAAATTCCACAAGAGTCGCCGTTTCTATGTGCGCACCAGTAAAGAAGCTATATTAAAAATTACGCACGTATAGCATCGGTAAAAAATGTATAAATTTTTCCATCGCGACTGGAAAAATGATCGACGCGATTCAAGTTGAAGATCGAGTACATTTGCACAAACAGAGTCGAACTCGATACATATCGAATGAATCGTACATTGATTTTACATACTAATTGATAGCTGAAAAAAAAAGAAGAAGTATAAATCGATACGAAACGTACGCGAACATTAACCGATCTAACATGGAATTTAAATCTTTCATTACAACAAAAAAAAGTCGATTTACAAACTAGACGACGAGTGCGCGCGCGCGGACATAAAAACACGGGAATTTCTAATTCCATAATTAAAAAGTAGCGAGTGGATGTAAGCGCTGCCAATTGCTCGGGCGCGCGTACGCGATTCGAGAATTCCTCGGCAGCACAATAAAACTGCTCGCTGCACACACACACAGCTCGTATTTCGTATATAAAACGAGGAAAATAAAAAGAACTTGAGAGGCTGCGATTTATTCAGAGACGTTAAACAGCCCGTTAAAACGGCTGTATTTTCGCGCGGCACGGGGCGAGAAATAAGAAGGAGGCAGGCAGGCAAGCGCGCACGAACGTGATCTTGAGGAACAGAAGAGGGGCGGGTCGCGAACTTAGCTACCACGCTCTCCGACTTATATATATATTTGAGGAAGCGAAGAAACGAACGAAAAAAAGGGAAAAAAAGGACCGACGGAGCTGCGGTAAATAGACAATAACGAAAAGGCGATATTACGGCGCGCTGACAATGCACTAAATAGGACGTATCGAGCGCGAATATAAATACCCAAAATGTGTGCGGCGACAGGTATAAGACACTCGCTCGAAGGAAGAACCATCGCTGCACACCGTACATCAAAATACCAATTAGAAATTTCAATATCTCGAGCTCGCCGCTATCGCCGTATTATCAGCTAGCTCGTGATATATGTACGGGCTTACCTTTGGTATCAATAATTCATGCGATTGCTATATTCGAAATAAAAAAAAAAAATAAAAAAGAAGGGCTTGGTTTTCTCTCGCTCGCGAACTTGAATATGCATGGAAAAAAATATGACCGCGCAAACTGGTTCTCTTTCTCTCTCTTGCTCGAGAGCGCGAGAGAGCTCGAAAATCGAACTTTCAAAAATGCGCTGCGCTCTCTGTGTATGCGTGCGTGTGTGTGTATGGTGGCGCGTGTACGTATATCCTTGCGAATCGCAAAAAGTACACAACTGCGTTGGAGAAAAAAAGGAAGGCGAACAAGATATTTTATTTCCTACGCCGATACGTATAATGTATTTTAAAATGTGTCATAAAAGATAATATTAACGACATTGTAAACGCAAAGCAAGTAGAGTAGTCGGTATATACGTGTGTGTGTATACGTACTCGCGCGCGCGCGCGCGCCGGCGGTGAAATATTAAATTAAGCATTATTTCGCGTGCGGATTGGCAGTTTTCTGGCTTGCGCGCGCGATCGCGAACGTCAGCCTGTGCAGCCTCGAGCGAGGAAAAATTAACGTTGAAATTTCGTATTCAAATTTTTGTTAAACGTGAAATTTCTCGAACGCGCGCGTGTGTGTGCTTCTATGCCGTTTTTTCTTATTTATACATGTGTGTTAAGGAACGATTTTATCGTCGAGACACGTTGTAAATTCCGACTTCGACTATAAACACGCTATGAATGATTTCAACCCTTCTCTTATAAAAAGGCCATACTTATACAGAGACGCGCGGCACGGAAAATTATTATTTTTTATTTCCATCACTTAGAGTTCCGCGAGTATATATATATTAATAATAACGTTAAGAAACTCCGCCGCGAACGAG